CCATATAGATCTCTTTGTACATCTAGTCTTATTCCGCAAGTTATTGTAGTTGGGATATATGAAAGTACATAGAAAAAAAAAAAAAAAAAAACACGATGTGCATGTTAGAAGACAGAATGAAGGAGATATTCTGAAGAAATCATAATTTGCGGTAATTATCATAAAACCCTTAATGTGAAATAATTAGCCCTTGTATATTTATATTGTATCAAATTGGTATGTTATCGATGACTGTTTTTACTCAAACGGTGTATGTGTAAGTTTAGTGTTTTTTTTTCTGTAATTAATCATGTTTTTGTATTTTAACTAAGTTGTCGAACCACTTCTCCACACACCAGATCAAGCATATCTATTTTTTTTGGGGAGGGAGGAGGTGTTTTCCAATCTAGTTCTGAAGTTTGAGCAGTACTGATAGATAGGAATGCCACTGCTTCAAATTTTTTTCTTATGCAATTTTCTGTTTAATGCAATCTAGTATTTTGATTTGTTGTTTGTTTTTGCCATTATAGCTCATTGGCTTCCTTGATAGGATTTGCTTTCTTTATTTGAATTAGAGGGATGGACCTAATGACATAAATTAGTCATTAGTCAGTTGAAGCCTTCTCTTCTTGTTTCCCTGTAAAATGTTCATTTATTTCTCTGTTTGGTTGCCAAGAAAACAAGGGAAAGGGAAAATAATCGAGATCGAGACTGCTTAAATTAGGTTTTCATTTAGGATTGTTAGAACTCAAACTTTAGCAATTTGTACGACGTGCATTATTACTATAGAATCCAAAGATAAGCACACAGATGAATACTAGTTTGTTTGATCGTCACGGCCTACTACTCTCAGTAGTCACTCAAATTCGTAGGTCGAACATACAGAAAAATATTTATCCCGAGAGGGTCATATATAATTAAAAAAGAAAATTGAAATAGTGATAGCTTTAAGTTGGTTTAAGAACTCACAAGCTTCATTACTTTTGTGAAGTTTACATTATAATAAATCTGAGTAGTGATAGTTTTAAATGTTTCAAGACTCGATCTCGCTAATGAACCAGCTGATTTGTTCACCCACCCAGAGACCCACCTTACCCCATAACTTGCTACCAATCTTGGCTTCTGTCTGTGCTGCCATGGCGATTACCAGCACCACCAGGATCACCGCTTGAAACATCTTCGATGAACTTCCTGCCATTTTTACGATTCCTTCTCTTGTGTTCCTGAATAATTGTGGGTTGATGGTTTGACCAGACACAAGGGTGCGGTGGTGTCTGTGGTCTGCTATAAGAGCTTTTAGTTAGTTAATGCTGTGAGGGGTTTGTAATGTTTTAATTAATTAATCAATTAATGTGAAATTAAGTGCTGTCTAATTAATTTAATGTAACTCTTAAGAAATCATTAAGAGATGTCTTGTATGTAATTCCATTTGTTCTTTCCATCATGATCATGATGATGATGATGATCATGATGATCATATGTATACATATACATATGCTCAAAAGAAAAAATATCTCACATATATATATAAATGCTGTCAAAGTGGTGTAAGTATATGGAGTTCATCAACTTTTGTACTAACTAAATTTGTATTTTTGTATTGGGCACAAAATATAATTAATTATACTTTTCATATAATTTTAAATTAGATAATCAATAAAGTTTTTTAATTAAAAATTTGATTTCAGTAGAATTATTAGTTAATATAATATATATAATATAATAAATTATATTATAATAATATTTAAATTTTTATTGTATAGTATATATTTAAAAATTATGTCAAAAAGTAATATTGTAATTTTATAACAATTACTTTATATGGTAATTACTTTAATGTTATTAATTTTTAATTTGATTAAAAAATAATATATTTAATTTTTTTAATAAATTATAACAATTCAATTAATAAAGATAAAATATAATTATTAAGTATATTTTAAAATATAATTTAATTTAATTATCGTAATTTTGGTAACATATTGATAAATTAAAATTTAAAAATTATTATAAAATATATTATGAATTGATAGTTATTAATTTATAATATAATTATAAAATAATAAATTTTATATCTGTAATAAAATTTAAATTTATAATTTTTAAATAAAATATAATAATTTTATTATTTGGTTATTGCAAATGTGTGTGTATGTATATATATATATATATATATA